TTAGAACTTTAAAAGACTTCAATAATGAGCCCCGTCAGATATGGAACATATTTCCCTACTTGAAGTGCATCAAAGCTTTCCCTTCTTTTTGTACTTTTTGTTTGTCTTTCAAATAATCGTAGCCTTGCAAGGGCGGAATGATGCCCTTTTTCAATGTGTTTTAAGGTAAACTAAACTAAAGAATCCTTGTCAAGGTTTAGAGCTCTGCAGTAAAAAACAGATAGATATCAACTTAGTCGGATGCAGTATCCAAAATAATTCGACACTATGTGTACATAGTATGTGGACATAAATGGCACACTCCACGAAAATACCGTGAGAATAAGACCAACAATTTATTAAGATGCATAACTCGATATGTTTGTAGGGTGGCGTATGATTTTCTTTGAAATTTCTCAAGAATGGCGGCCCATAGATAAAATGCAAAAACATGTGGACGAATAATAGACAGAGAGACAAGCTTAAATTGATTCAGAAAACGATTCAGAATAGATTGGCTTAGCAAAAACTGGGTCTACCCAAAGTCGTTTGTTTGTCGTATATACATGCGCATAATCTTAATATTGCCCTGTAGCATAACCGCTATAAGGTGTAAACATTTAATAATGACTATATGTGACATACATTATTCATATAAGATGGCATGCAGATGTACAGTGACTAATCATTGAAGGATTACTACCATTCCTAAATAGCATCTACCTTCCAGCGAAATGTATGAGAATTTCATGACATTCAGATTAGTAGCTGACAAGTTCATACTTTTCCATTGTTTCATCAAAAAAAAAAAAGCGAACGTTTCTAAAACAACAACTACTACTGCGTACAATGATAAGGACTTTTAAAAATTTACGGTATAAGTCGCATGCATGCGCGGGAGGTTCTCAAGAGCATACAGTGACAGGTGACAGCTCAGGTGCTCATCGACAAAGAAAGTGTGTCTAGAATTCTTGATACCGTCGAGCATCGGCCTAATATGGCGTGTGGTGGGTTCACATAGCCCACATTACATCCAGGATTCATCTATAGATATAAATGAGATTTCACCTGAGATTTCTCCTGGACTTAGCTGCTCGTCCTTCTTCAACCATATTGCCCGCCTTTGGAGCAACGTAGGAGCTAGGTTCTTTCCCACCGTATCTGATATCTCCATTTTCAAGACGAACGTTCACAAACACTTTTCCCTCTCTTCATCCCTCTTTGCCTATAAAGCTTCCTTGTTTTCAAAAATATGCATAATTATAAATCATATTGATTCCTCAATAAAGGCCATAACTCTGTATGATCCTACGAACTTATTGAGTGACGTGTTACGTCCATTTATAATATCTCTGAGAAGTTGCACAAGAACGAATAAGATCAAGTCCTCGAAGGTGGCAGATAGAAATTCGTTCAGAAAACCTTGAACATTTTTCAACTGCTAACAGTGAATGACCTTATCGGTTTGGGCTAATCAGCTTTTACGCCCTTTCCAAACTTTTCCTGATAAATAATATAAATTTGTTTTTTTTCTCAAATACATTTTGATACAATTTTTTAAATATTTGTTATTTTTTGATACGGTCACCAACATGTGCTTACTAAAAACACACACGAACTTATCAATATTCAATTTAACGCTTGTTAATATTTTTTTGTTATAATTTTTTCAATAAACGTATTGTTGGTGTAGTTTTTATTTTTATTATTATTATTATTATTAGTGATAAGGTCCAAGTATGACAAAGTTTAAGAAAGCAAAACAACAAAAATACGCTGAAATAATAAAAAAGCAAAAAACCAACAGGACTTTGGACCCATTTGCATTGCTTTAGTAAAAACAACAACAAAAAAGAAGACCGGAGAGCCCTTTTTACGATATAACATAAGTCAACTTTTAGTTCTCAATGAAATATTTTCATTACTAATAATTAAAAAATTCAAGAATGAACAAAAGTAGTGTGCAGGCAGATAGTGATAGAAAGAAAAAGTCGATGTACCGTGTTGGAGTAAAAATCTTTCTTTTTAATTTTATTCTTAAAATTGTAAGACTGTTGGGAAAGTAATGCCTTCTGTTTGGTTAAAATGGGAGACGACTTTCCGAGAGAACCGAAATAATTTTCAGTTTGTAACATACGGATAAGAACAAATCGTAATAATTGCATTAATTCTTTCAACAAATTACAAATGAAAACTATTCAGGAAAATTTACTTTAAGGAAATATAAAGAAAAATTTCACCTTTCATAGGAAAAAAAAATTCGGTTGCAAAGGATTTATCTCGCAGTGATAACAGGAGTTAGTTAAAGCCTTTACTTTGTCTTCATCAGTTTGTATCGGCCTTACATTCTCCATACATATTTTTATAATTTTTGCCTTTTCAAAAAGCATTTTTAACTTTTCGACAGTGAAAGTCCAAAATGTACCGAAAATAATGCTTTTGACTAGGACTAAGGACTATTGCAAAAGGCTATTCCGCTATCAAAGTGTGTGATGAGAATTGGGCGGGAGAAAGACGAAATTATCCTCGGAACAAGCTGATACGTTTTTATATCGCTATTCAATTAATTTTAATTATATACCAAGACTTTTGCAGCCATTTGCAAACATCGACTTTAAGATTTCCTTAAAGAACTTTGCTTTGCTTTGCAATAAAGTCAGATGAATACTTAGAATGGTTTACATTCAGAATAATAAGAACGAAGCAGTCTTTTATAATTGCGTGTCTAGTCGTGTGAGCACATAGTTCGAGCAGTTGAAATAAATGCACCGAATACATTTTGTCTCTCCGAGAGAATTTTCCCCACATGTTTTTGAGTTCAATCTAAAGACGGCAAATTTTCAAAACTCTTGAAAGCCTAATAGTGTTTGTTGGCAGTAGGTCGAAAGAGTTGAAAAAAGTTTCCCTTACCCATAGAAATCTTGTTACGAAAAGTAAAATCAAATAATAAGCCGCAAATTCCCTCACCCCCTTCCGACAATGTCCAAAACTGTGGCAGAACGAACAAACTTGCTGTGCTAAATTTAGACCACAGATGCCTATTTTTTGGGAGCCATCACATAAACATAAAGGACATAAAGCGAAAAAACACAAGGTCTTTACGATCAATTAAAATTCCTACAGGGCCTGATGGCAACATCTCAAAACCGAAAAAACGATAATTGTTGTGACGAAATCATTCCCAGACAATGCCATCACTACTACTACTACTTTTGATTTAATAACACACTTTGCCAAATCATGCCAGCGAAGGCAAATTAATTATTTCATACAAAATCCAGCTGGGTGGAGCCATTATACTTCGCTTCCTCTCAGCGAAATCAACTCGTTTCCTATGCAGCAGCATGGAGTTATTCGAGACAAATTGCGGTAAGCACTGCCCCTTACATCTGTAACGATTATCTTTCGTTACCAATAATTTCATTATAAAGTGACCTATCGACACATGTTACAGTTAGTCTAAGGACGGAAGACTGTTCTTCTCCCAAATGAAATGGCGTCACCGAACTGTGTGGAATACGTTGTTCTCCACATCGAGAGGAGACTAACTTGGGAGAAGCATACACAAGCAAAACGACGACAACTAAATATGAAAACAAAGAACCGAAACTCAAGACTACTCTGCAGAACAAAGACTTACTCTACAAAACCATTCTAAACATGCAATAATTCTAAAGTACATATATTGTGCAAATATCAATTTAAAACCAAAAGGTTGATCACAAATGCTCCTTATCTTGTGGCAAGTCACATTATACATGCCGAGCTTGATGTCATGAAAGTTAAAGACGAAATCAAAAGGTTTTTTTTTAGCGGTAATTACTTAAACAGAATAACCCTGCACCCTACTACTTTTAGCTTTAAATTTACTGGATGATAGTTATGATGAAGCAGAAAGATTGAAGAAGCACCACATATTAGACCTTCCCTTCATATACACACATTACCGATTACTCTTAATATCGACTCAATAACTGAGAACAAAAATTTTGTCAATTATTTGTTAAATTCACTAAATAGATTGATTGCAGAGAAAGACATTTCGAAAAAAGAAGATATGCGAGCGAAAGTTAGGTACATGAAAATTTGCAAAACTCGATCTCAACATCATTTATTTTATATCCAGTGCTAGAAGAATTCCTACGACAAACAAGAAAAAGAGAACTGAAGCGGAAATGTTAACATTTTATAACAAAGTGTATTTGCATTTCATAGCTTGTGTCAGGGTTTCAAACATTGTCTTTAAATGATCAACGCGCAAAGGAGAGAACGAAATGAAAAACAAAAATTGCCAACGATCGCGTCGCCTCATCAACAACAAAGTAACGGCCGAATTTTATGGACGATCAAAGGTACTTTGATGATTAGTTGGCAATGTACTGATTACGTATACATCGACATACGTATATGAAAGTGTGTGTGTATGTGTATGTATGTGTGTGTGTGTGTGTGTAAACGAATAATGCATAAAAGAACAAAGGGTGCAATCACTTTAATTTCTTGTTTTTTTAAATTGCATTAGAAATAGAAATATTACTTATAAGCTCGTCTCCCCCACCGCATACACGTAGGCATGAAAATGATAAGGACTCTCTTCTTTCTTTTTCTTTCTTGCATGAGAACACATTAACAAAGAGAATAATTATTTTGTATAATTTTATAAACAAATTAAGACTGTTTACATTAACATTACATAGAAATAATCAAAAGTGAAAATTACCAATGACCCCATAAATAAGGCGCGGACAACGTTCAACAACTAGCAGCAAGAGATTTATTTCGATCGGTAATGTTAGTCAGCAAAAAACAAAAAAAAAAAAAAACAAAATATATTCTCCTATTAGCTCTTTCTCTCTTTCTCTCTCCCTCTATCTCTTGCCTTTCTCTAAATCTCTTCATTCTCTTTGAGTCGGCCGAGTTAAGCAATTTTGATTAGAGGCACTTGTTCCACATTAACGCTATTCGCGAAGCACACGATATGTTCTTTCACTGATAAGAATATGATTTCAAGACTTGTCGTGACTTGTGTAAATTGTTATATGCCGGCGCTATAACTGGCACTTGAGACGTGTCTACAAGGAATCCAAAGTTTCGTACGAGCGCTCAGTTGTTTAGGAGACCTGTTAGCGGTAAGCCATGTGCAACATACCGTGTTCCTTACATAAAACTTTTGCATCCTGAAAAATTAAAAAACTGAAAAGCATGGATTTTTTCAAATTTGCTTAATTTTTGCTTTTTTTTTTAATTATTTATATATTTTTTAACTTTTCATAAAATGTTTATTGTGTGCGTTCTTTATACGGAATATTAACTTGCAATTACTTAAACGGTGACGATTTCGTGTATTTAATTTAAAAAAAAAAAAAAAAAAAAACAAAAATAAAGAAAACTTAAAGCTAATGTTTGCATTAAATTATAAAAATAAAAAAAATAAAAAATTGCTTATAATTTGCCATTTATTCCATCTATTTTAGTCACAGTCCGCAAGTCATTCATCGAGGAATAAAATAATTCGATCGACCAATATGTCTAAAGCAAATAGTGAGGAAGCATTTAATATACGCATCGGTTACTTAAGACCGGAGACGGTTGAATTAGCCAAAAATGAGTTACGCGAAACATCGGAGACTAAAGAAAACGCCATTAAGGAATTACGTCAATTATTGCAAGCAAGTCCTGATCTTCATTACAAGGACGACGATGAGTTTCTTATAATTTTCCTGCGAACGTGTCATTTTTATCCGCAAAGTGCTCTCGAAAAGGTAACTCAGAGTAAAGCAAGGCAAAGCAAAGCAATTTAAAGCAAGTTTTTTACCAAACCACTGAGCTCGGCTTGGATTCATTAATCTTCCGATTTTCTTTGTTTTGCTGTTTATTCATTTTGCTGATAAGAAGTGTTCTTAATTATTTTTAGAAAAATTTCAAACAAATTTCAATTTCATATCATTTTTTGCAAATATCTTCTTTTTCTCATACTTATATATATGTATATATATATATATATATATATAAAATAATATTAAGAAACGTGTCATTGCATCGAGAAAAATCATGTTAAAAAATAATTTATTTATATTGATTTTCTTTTTTTTTAAATGCCATCGTGAAGAATCAATTCAGAACAAAAATCACAGCCCTTTGCTTACAAGAACAAGAACAGTCTGGTTTTGTAAAACAAGATCTATGGGGAAATTATTTGAAACTTTGAAGAGATCTTCGAACTGCTTGAGTCTTATGAAATCAATTTTATTAATTCCCGAATTAAGTATTCGGGGCAAATAACTCGGCAAAATTTTGAGCATAGGATGATATTTTGTATTCGCGACGTATCACATGATTGTGTCTTGTATTACAATATAATATTTCGTTTTATCGAATTGTTTCAAAATTTTGAAAAGTTCTCGCGTTCAAAAACTGAGGGGAAATTTGTGATCGGCCTTTAAACGCTTGACGAACCCTAATTAATTCGGGATGCTTCAGATCATTAAAAGCGATCTCAACCAAATCTTAACAACGGAATGCTACTCGGTGTTCTCGTGTTGCCAGATTAATGCTTTTTAATTTACAACAATATTTTGCTTCTCGATTAACCCGACTCAAACAAGAATACTTGAAGTGCGCATGAAAATTACGATTAATATCGACAAAGTCTTATTGACAAGATGCCGAGAAATCTTATGAGCAAGAAAAATCTTATTAACAAGATGCCGAGAAATCATTTCAATCTCCTTAAGCGAACCTAATCATTAAACCGACGTCGAAATCTTGCCACGTTCAAGGGTGAGCCGAATAAATATTTGCAATGAACCGTGACTGCTGCTAAAACAAAGTGGATCTATATGTTGTTTTTGTGTTTACATTCCGCGAGCGCCAAGTCTCACAATTTTTTGGAGAGTTGAATGAGAGCCACTTTAATCTTTCCATACCAAAACCGAAAAGTTTGTATTCTAATTCTGTCTGTTGATGAAAATCACTTAATTGGCGCTCCTTTTTAAAGTTGAATCTCGTATCAGCTTCCCTTTTATTACAAAAATACGCATTATATAGTCGCAAATATATATGTAGCATATAATACCATACGTAATAAATCGCCCAAAGTGTTCATAGGATGACATGTAGTAGTTGCGGACGCCGAGAAAGCCGCGTAGACCTGTTAAAGGACCAAATTGGATGAGCAAAGCCCTTTTATCTCAAGGATACCTAAAATTTTAGACACCCCATGAGTACCTTAGCCTGTCCCTATATGCGGTTGACGGTCTCTAAGCAAAGTTTGCAGGCTCCCGTTCACACAAGCGAGTTCTACTGTAATTCTTTAGAAGCAGTAGTTTTTGTTTTAGAAACATTTCTTTTGTTTTTGTAAAACAATGGGAAAATCTTAACGTCTTGGTCGGAATATCGTGAAATTTAATACATTTCCTATCAAAGTTAGTACCATCTACACATCGCAAGTACCTTTCAGTAATCGTTTTACATCTGCGCATCATCCAACGAACTTATTGAGTAATGTAATATATATGTCATATGTAGTCATTGCTAAACGTTTACACTCTACAGCCGTTGTGCTACAGGAGAAACTAAGATTATGCGCATGTACACACAACAACCAAATGACTTTGAGTGTACCCACCCTTAACCACTTTTACTACACCAATCAATCTGATATTCGTCCACGTCTTTTCGGGTATTATGTATAGGCCGCTGTTCTCGAAAAAGTTTGATGATATCTGATACTCTGTCGCGATCTGGTCGAAGGCCATTGAGAAAGACACGTGCCATATATTGCACAACCCCATTACATTAAGAAATGGACAATTGTTAAAATTGTTCTAAAAAAAAACAAAGAAGGATGAAAAATACTGTTCAGTGTACTACAAAAAAGTATATAGAAAACTTGTTTTAAGCCCTTTCAATGCAAACGTTCATATGCCTTTATGAGGCAGAAGATGTAATTTTTTTCATGTAATTTACGATGAAACTTTATGCTTAAAATAGTAATCTAACACAACAAATTTACTATGCTCAATCCGGGCAGCAGTAGTCTTTTTCTCAAGTACAAGCTATATTTTTTTATACTCATACCCCACACCAATTATACTACAAGCTTGTGCGAAACATCCGATAGGATTTGAGATGAACGCATTTTTTATTATACCGATTCTGAATCGATCTGCACTTGTCTGTCCGTCTTGTATTTTTGTGTTCAACCCACAGATCGCAAATATTTGATTTACCTTGACAAAACCTGCTATACTGACGCGTTTCAGCCAAAGGACGAACGCTATTGAAAATGGCTTACATCGGACCACTGTTTCGATTACTTGCCATATAAGAAAAACTTTCTTGCCCGTTTAGAAAAGTTCGTTATAAGGATAACTTTGTTAAGCGAAGTGGTATAGGGTGTTCACGGCCCACAATAGTGTTTTTACTTGTTTTAAAATGTACTTAAACAGCCTCTCTCTCTCTCTCTCATTCTGTACATGTTACCTTTGAAACTTTCAGATGAAGTCTGTAGCTGCCTTCCGTAAAGAAAATGCCAACTTACTGCATGGTTTAGTAATTGAGCAAGTAAAAGAAAAATTCCTAAATAGTAATGTTATTAATATTTTAAAAAATTGTGATCAACATGGGCGTCGCGTACTAATTGTTAATTGTGGCGAAACCTGGAATCCCAGTTATGTAAATACAGACGATGTATTTCGCCTACTGTATTTGGTGCATATTGCCGCTCAGCTGGAACCTGAGACGCAAGTGCGTGGTGCGGTAGTTATTATGGATTTCGAGGGTTTATCTATGAAGCAAGTGACTGCCTTAACACCCTCATTCTCGAAACGTTTATTAACTTTCATACAAGATGCGATGCCAATTCGTTTAAAAGAATTGCATTTTGTTAAGCAGCCGTTCATCTTTAAACTTGTTTGGTCTCTATTCAAGCCCTTCGTACGAGAGAAATTAAACAAAAGGGTAACTTAACGCCCAAGATATGGGAATTTTTTGATAATACTAAGAAATGCTTCTTTTTTTTTTTTTTTTTGGATACATTCACAGATACATTTTCATGGTAGCGATATGAAGTCTTTACATAAGTTTTTATCGCCCGAAATCTTGCCTGAAAACTATAAAGGTCAGTTGCCTAAAATTGATTACGCCGGCACCCAGTGGCTGCCGGCTTTAGAGAAACATGAAGAATTCGTTAATGAATGGGCTGAGATGGGACCAACTAAATGGTAATCAAATGTTTAAACACTTATACAAACATTCCTTTTTATTATCTTCTAAGCTAAACGAAAAAACCAAAATTTATAAAATCATTAAATAAAGAAACACAACAAACAATTCATCTGTTAAGCGAGATAATAATTCAGCTTTTATTCAAATATCCCGCAAAGACAACCGATAATCGTATAAAGTAAGTACTAGAGAGGGACACTTTTCATTTCTTTAATTTCCTTTTCCTGTGACCATTTCGCCCTCTTTAACGGTATTTCATATGTCTCCATTAATACATTTCGCATATACATGTGTTAACTCAAATGAAAACAATATAATAAAGATAACAATAATAAAAATAAAAATAAATTTAAAAAAAAAAAAATTTTGATTTCGATTAAATTTTACTTGTAGGAAATAATTGTTACTTTTCCGTCTTCTAATGTCCTATACAAAGATTTGATTATTATTTGGGAGTGTTTTTTTAATTGGCTAATGGGTTTTGCTATTTTATTTTTTATATAATCCAATGTACGCTATAGACTATTTCACACGGCATTGTTCCTGTTACATCTATACTATCATTGTGGAAGGATCTTCCATAAAGTCTCGGAAATATTGTAACCATTTTGCTGCTATAGCACCGTCGACAATGCGATGATCAGCAGATAAAGTCACATATATTGTACTGACTTCTTTGAAGCTACGAACAAATGAGAAAAGTTAAAGATTAGATTAAATTGTACTTCTTGAAGTATAATTAAAAGTCATCGTCTTAAATGTAAAGAACTCAAATACGAACATTCCATTAATATGATCCCAAATGTCTCCTAAACATGATGCATAAATGATTGTCTTCAGACAAAAAGAAAAACCTTTAGTTTTTACATTCGACGTTACTTGTGGTGAATGTGCGCTACGTTTTGTGCCAATGTGGGCAACACTCTGAAAAACTTTTATAATACCGATTGATTGAATATCATTTTTGTATCCGTCTGTCCGCGATTTTTGTGTGCGAAATGGTTTTTTCTCCAAAGACGAACACTTTTAAAATTGGATTGACTCGAACCACTTTTACGATCTTTGACCATATAACGCCTTATTCAGGCGCAATTTCAGTGAAATAAATTATTTGGGTATAACACATATACATAACAAAAGCGGCCAATTTATATAAAATGAATCGCTCCCTATTACAAAGCGTAAATCGTTATATGCCAACAAAGTTCAATCTTGAGGATTTTATGATAACTACTTGACAGAAGTTTTTGTTGTCAGGTTTAGAGTTCAACCATTTAGTTTTCGTCTCCCCGCCCCTTTCAACGGCTGTCATCAACAACAAGCATTCGCAATTGCATTAGAAAAAGTTATATAAGGAAAGTAGAAGCGCAATCGTTAACTGTAGACAAGCGGAAAAGTTCTTGAATTTTTGTGATACCATTTTGCTAACTTAGCTGCCTCCCTAATACCAGCAATCATTTGCAATAATGTATTATCACGCCAAAGGCCGCCTACTCACCCTTTTTCACTGTCTGCATTAACCACCAATTTCTTGTTAGTAGCACCTACTGCTAATATACAGGATTGCGGTGGATTAATAACTGCAGCAAATTGTGTAACACCTGAAAATCGGCAAAAAAAAAAATAAATACGCCTATAGTATTTAAAAAGAAACTAGTTGCTTATATCTTACCATACATGCCCATATTAGACACACAAACTGTACCGCCCTGAAACTCGTGTGGTTTCAACTTATTTTTTCTGGCTTTGTCTGCCAATTCTTTCACTTCCTTTGATATCTCTACAACGCCTTTACGGTCCGCCGCAAACACTATGGGTGTTATTAATCCGAAATCAGTGGAAACAGCTATAGAAACGTCGACATTATCGAACCTATTACGAAAGTGTTTAAAGAAAGTAGTAGTCTTTAAAAGACCAAAGCTCGGAGATTTCTTTACATACTGTCTTATAACAGATCCCATCCAATAAGAATTCGCTTCAGGCACTTTGCGACATGCTATGGCAGTTGCTTTAATTATAAAGTCGTTTACAGAAACCTTGACCTTCTCCTTTTCGTATTTCTTATTTATTTTCGCACGGAGTTTCAGAAGCTGTGTCAAAATTAAGTACAAGTTAAAATTTTATTAAATTATTATTGCAAGTGTGTGTTATAAAAACTCACAGCATCCATCTGACATTCCATCGTTACATAGTAATGAGGTATAGTCGTTTTGGATTCCAGGAGCCGTTTAGCTATGACACCCCGAACATTTGAAATTGGTATATCAATGTAACCTCCTTGCGGTGCCACTTGCTCTTTATCTTTAGAGGGCTTCGCCTCCGCAGGTTTCTTATCTGCAAGATCACTAGACTTAATAGATCCATAGATGCCGCTACCAGCTCCTATGGTGTGCGCATATAAATGCAAAAAAGTTAGAGATTGGAGAGAAATGTGTCGTCTAGTAAAAAAGGGCGGGAATAAAATAATAAGAACCTTCTAACCGCAACTGTTGAGCTTCGGCCAGCTTCTTAGCCATTGGACTTGCGTATACACGTGGGCCGCGCTGTTCAACGGCAGTTATAGGCTTAGCAGACCGCGCTGCCGTTTTTGGCGATGGTGGGGCAGAAGGTTCAACCACAGTTGGAGGAACTGATGGCTCGACAACGGGAGCGAGTGGCATGGCAGAAGCAGGTGGCATTGCAGCTGGTTTAGCTGCTCTAGCTATAGGTGGACTGTCATCAACAAAGTTTTTGAACGCTGCCACGTTTCCTTGATCCTGGACTAAGATACATACCAATTTACCTATAGGCACATCTTTAGTGCCAGCTGGAACTATAATTTTAGCTAAGTAACCTTCCTCAGGTGTCTCAAAGCCCATAGTGGCCTTATCAGTTTCGATTTCAGCCAAGAGGTCGCCTGATGTCCAAGAAAAACAATATCTCTTTGTATACGTAATACTATTATTTTACAATACATTCTAATCTCACCCTCATTAACTTTGTCGCCCTCCTTCTTTTCCCAACTAACAATACTACCAGTTTCCATGGTGGGTGACAAGGCAGGCAAAGGTACCTTAATGTGATCCGGATAGCTGGAATAAGCACGAACAAAATTCGTACCACACACACCCATAGGTTGACATGAGAAAATCGTCGTCAACACATGTTTCTGCGAACTGCCAAAAATATCAAATTAAAGCAATCGAAAAGAATTAAGCATAATAAACAATAACAAACATATGAGTATAATGAAATGCGACTACATATGTTATCAATCATGTTATCTGTAGCGTCTTTGTCATTCGGCTTCTAAACAAAGAAAAAGCTTTATTCTTCAATGAAGTGCATATCACACCACTCTTCCAACCCGTTACCAAATATGCGGAATGCAAACAACAAATGTAAGACGCGTGATTTTATTTGTCATTTACACAACTTCTCAAGCACTTAAAGCTGTTGTTTTTTCTCTGTCTTATTTTTTTTATTTTATCACATTCGCAACGACATTGGATTACACAACAGTTTATAACCTAAACACATGTCTGCACACGCAGATAGATGCACATGCCCCACTCAACTTGGGAGTAGCAACGAAGTATAGCTCTCAGTGACCGGCAAATTGCCCTCATCCGCCAATTGACTGACCGTACCTTGATGTGCTTCGATTCCGTAAGGTTCTCGTGGTCAACACTCGTAAAGCAGACCGCGAAAATTTATTCAATGATCTACGGAAAATCCACTCATTGCGATTTGCAACAGTTCTGAGCATTTTTGCTTTCACTAACACCAAGTAAACGTTTAACCACAATTCTCTCCTCGTCTAGTTCACGTCGTGTTTATTAAACTAATATTAATTCCTCTTTAGCAAATGTTAGAAAAAGTTTTTTACAAAATAAAAAACAACTTTTCATCGACCTCTTATAGTCTTATAGTCGTCTCGTAGGTCAAATCAAATCTCGAATCGAAACCAATTTTTCTTTCTCCCAACTTGTCAAAAATTGCTTGACATCTGTTATGAATGAAATGAAAAACAAAAATAAAAAATTCAAGCACACAGATGCTTTTTAAGCGCCCCTTATGCAAACTTGACGCAATAACGTATCATGTTATCGTAATGTAATAAAGCGTCATTACGACTATTGAAAAATTCATAGAATTAAAAATTGACAGCCCAACTATTGTAATCCTCTAAAAATTAGTGAATCTACCGGCCGTAACTAGTGATAAAGGGTCACGAAGTTCTTATTTTGAAACTTAATAAAGTTAAAGTTTGTTATCCGCCTGAGTAGCCGAAGGCGACGAATCTCGACTAGCAAGTCAATGGTCGTGGATTCGAATCTCAAGTGCGGTAGAGTTTTTAATAAAAGCCGATAGCCTTAGATGCTAGTGCTTTTAGGAGTTTAGTCTTAGAATTTATTTCTCTGGCGAAATTAATAATAATAATAATAATAATAATAAAGTTTGTTGGTACTGATGAAATCTTATAGTTTTTTTTTTTTTAAATTTTCTTAGAATATACTTTAGATCGTTCACAGTAAGAATCGAAAATAAAAACTTTAAAATCAAGTTGAGAGAGAGAATCTATTGTCTATTTAGATTAAAGTGTTCAAAGTTCCCTAATAAAATCTTTTAATACATATCATTATGGAAATGTTCATAAATCGTACGTTATTGAAAGTATGTACATTAAAATAAAGTAAAGTTTAACATTGCATACCCGAACACTTCACTGCGCAGGAATACTTTAGAAACTGTAACAATTTTCACGTTAATCGTAATAATGGAATTGTCGGAACTATCATAGTGTAGTCAATTTGTAATATGTAACTTTGTACAAAGTAAAAGATGAAAACAATCTCTTTTAACATACATTATTTTTAGTTTTAGATTTCAAGACCGTTTTTCAATTTCGAATCAGCTTATAGCAGCTATTTTAGTTTTTTCCAATCAGCAAATCCAACTTATAAATCCCCGCCCTCGCAACCCTTAAACTCTTTAGCTTGTATGAATGACCTAAGGAAATTCTACATACATCTATATATATATAAACTCTCTGAACCCTCTAGAACCTTCAGCAAAAAAAAAGAACGCAAAAAAATTGACTTAAACCAGAATGAAAAAAAAAATTATTTTGTATTTATATTTTTTATTATAATTTATAAAATTTATAAAAAATTAAACTTTTAAGAAGAGTTAATTAATTGTTACAATATCAACTACGAGATAAATGGAAAAATCCGCAGAGAAAAATAAAATTTCCAAACAAATTAAGGCTTTTAAGTATACGAGAAAGAAGGGATCACTAAACTTAAAAAAAAATTAATTCGGTGTTTCAAACAACCGGCATATTTTCGAAGCAAAAGTCGCACAAATTCATTTAATCGTAGGAAACTCAAAAAAGGGCCTAGCAATGAAGTGACAAAAAGTCAGTAAAAGAGCCTACTGATATCCGGTTTCATCAGATGCCGGCGATGGATGAACATAGCTGTAAACATAAAGTTTAATAAAAAAAATTTTCCAAATATAAACTGAACAAATGTTTTTAAAAAAATGAGTTCATAAACGAGAATTGGCTTAATTATAGGTGACAATCTTGTCTGGTGTAGGTCTACAATCTTGTTTGGATGTACGCTCTTGTTCGAAAACGTCATTTTTAACAGAACTATGTTTATGTGTGAAGATAAAGAACAGTACTCCTTATTAGCTTCAAAAATGAACTCTACGTTTTACGATAAATAAATAAACTCGGATGAGTTGAGTAATTTCACTATTTTCATAAATAAATTTGCTATTATTTACTAAAATTGTACAAACAAAATATGCTATCTAATAAAGTTTCACTAAAATGACTTAAAAAGTAAAACCACTGTTATTTCTTCTATGACAATCTATCGCTATAATCACTTATTATTCTTAAATTTCTTACATCTTAATGGCAATATGATAAAAGTGATAAGAATAAATAAGAAAACGGAACAGAACATTAGCTTAGCAAGGAACACCTTACTTGCTTTCCAAGAAAATTGTATGTTGGTTACTTTTTTATGTAAACATGTGCGTCTTTAGTCAAATCTTTAGTCAAAAGGAATTTGATGTAGAATAATTTATGCAAAAAGTTTTAAAACTAAGCAATATAAAAGCCGCCAATTATACAAAACTTGCAACTTAAGCGGATGGCGCTGATGGCATGAAAATTGTTAACAACAAACTAAAATTTCACAAACGGTTCCAAAGCAATTGCTTGTAACTAACGTTGTCGTAATAACGAATTATAAAAGAATACATGTTGCTTGAATTCATTCCTTTGCAAATAGCAAATCAGTTAAAGTTTCCTCTGCCCTACACCACTTTTCTAAAAATCGCTAACACAGAATAAGTAATATTTGCTTTTACCCGTTTTACGTTAGTTGACCGCTGATAGCGTTGAAAACATTTGCGCTTTAAATTTTCAAGTTTTGTATCCGTTCTCAATATTCCCGCTTTTTTATATCATAAAACATATTTATCTACTATGTAAATGTTATTAGTATTTTCCATAAACCCGATGTAACGTTTTCTAATACGCACATCAGCTGGTCAGCTGTTAGTTTACCAGAAAAATGTAAATGAGAAATTTGTTTAGAAATATATAGTGTTACCAGGACAAATAAAACAAATTCTGACTAACTGTGTTTTACAATTATCAAATCTAAATTTTATCTCACATGTTGTTTACCCTTAATTTGCAATTTTGGTTATCTACTTATAAGCTCTATATTAAGTTATTATTATTAGGCTAGCTGCTTAAACCACATTTACAATCATAGACATATAAAATTCTGAAAATTCTTTTCAGGTATGCCAATTGGAAAATTGCTCCGGTGTTGTAAGTTCGTATCAGAAATTGACTAAAACTCAAACTAGAAAGTTACTGCTGGGCTTAACTAATAGCAGAATCTAAAAAAAGTAAAGTAAAAAATTTAATATAAATATGCGTTATTTCCACTGGCGTTTCTCATATTGTCCAAAATTGTAAATATTGGCTTTATTTTTCAAAATTTTCTTTCTAATTACATTCTTTGTGGGACTGCCAGATGCTTGAGATTTCTTTTTAGTTGCTACAAGGGACATTGCCAGATGATCTCTTGTATTGCAAATTTTTGCTATACTGAGTGACATAAAACTATAGGCGGTTAATAGGAGTTTAGTGTGGTTACTGTTAGGAAAACCGAAATCTTTAAATTTTTGCAAATGAAGGAAAATTTACAATTACCACGGCACTCATATTATTTCATTAATATGGCATATCACGTATAAAAGAAGAAGAAAAAAATGGCAAAAAAAAAATCGTAAAAAAAAACTTTTAACATTTTTGAAATTTCTCATCAGGGCTTCTTATTATCCACGTGTGTGCTTGCAACTCTTATTGCCCCATAACCCATCGGAACTAGTTTTCGTACATTGCTTCTCTGTGTGTGTCTTACGAGAGATATGCTTTGGTTGAACCTACAAGTTAATTAGCAATCCTTCAAAGCGCTCAGTAGCCGTATCTGTATAACCTACATAAGTATCTCTTCACCCTACGTGGCCTCTTGGAAATAAGTTATCTGTTGGTTACGCATACACTTACTGGAAGCTTCATACCATGTGCTTCAACCTTATTTGGGCAAACATTTCTATTATTAAACGTTGTATTGATGATATTGATCGATTCTAAAGCAATTGGTTGGGTAAAGTGAAGAATATCTTTAGAATATCTTTGTTCTGGTGGAACATTATCTGAGTTTACTGGTCTCTTCCGGCTTTCCGAAACTTACTCCCAGATATGTGAGAAATCCTTTGAATATTTTATGAATGTTATATGGAAAACAAACCGGCATTAAACAAAATCTAAAAATAAATCGATTTTGTATTCAAGAGATCCTTTCTTAATGTTTGCAAATACATGCACATTAGAGAAATATGGTTATTGGAAACGCACAACACTCTTCGGAGGTTTAGTAACTATTCATGGAATAACTGATGAAGTCTTACCCCGAGGTAGGCCATTGTAAGTAAGATCTTTTGAAATATTAAACAACATCTACACACCCATGTAAGATCAACTGATATTCACACCTTATAAGTTAACGTGATTGAGTCATGGGATTAAGAATCACTTAACCACTACCTCCGATTAGAATAAATATCTAGATAAATAATCAGGAGTTGCTGAATAAGATGTTAGATGTATTCCGCAAGTGCCGGCGTATGAATTCTTTAAACCTTCCCGCCTTTTTCACATTAAAGGGCCGATAGTAGGTCTAATTAATTATATTTGGGTTGCGAGCTCCCCCTTCTGCAATTGACACGATATCAAAAAAAAATAAATAAATAAAAGAAATTGCTTTTGCAATGCAAAAAATTAATTATTCCTGTATTGTCTTAAAATTAGCTCCACATACTGAACGATAATGAATCACTTACGGTGTGTATATCTAAAACCTATTATTAAAAAACAAGTTTCGATGTTTATTTTACATAGTCATGTATTTCCTTTATTGAACATACGCATTGAATTTCATCATGATATAATGAAATTAAATATATATTCTCGTCCACTGTTTCCAATCTTTTACGTTGTCTACGCATTAACAATCGCTTGGGCTTAAACACACACGCACAGTTGCAAATCTCCCCGAAATGGTAATGATATCCTGAAAGATGTAGTAAAAGAAAAATAAGAGATATCCAATTTTTTATTTATATGTGACGGGTGTTTTTCCTAATGAAAGAAAATCGTCTCATATTGAATGTACTTCAACATGTGCCGGGTATTTAATGCACCAGAGCACCTGATGAAGTACAATGGACATGAGACAGTTATGCCCTCACTGCACTTCATTTCTAAAATACAAACCGTTATTTAAAATGTCTTGCATGATGTCGGTGCCTAAGACTTCGCGCGCTACTTCAGGTACCTGACTTGGGTTTTACACAATTCACAGCCCCGGTCACTGATTAGC